CTATTCAGGTTTTCTAATTCTTCATGATTCAGTTTAGGAGAAGATTGTATGATTCTAAGAATTTCTTTCTTCTAGGTTGTCCAATTTGGTGGCATATAGCCTTTCATAATCTTTTATAATCCTTTGTATTTCAGTGGTATGCATTATAACTTCTCTGCTTTCATTTCTGAATTTATTTATTTGAGTCTTTTCTCTTTTTATCCTTAGTGAGTCTGACTAAAGGTTTATCAATTTTGTTTATTTTTTCAAAGAACCAGCTCTTTGTTTTATTAATCTTTTCTATTATCTTTTTATTCTCTATTTTTTTTATTTTCACTCTGATTTTTACAATTTCCTTCCTTCTATTGACTTTAAGCTTCATTTGTTCTTCTTTTTATATCTCCTTTGGATGTAATATTAAGTTGTTTACTTGTGATTTTTCTTGTTTTCTGAGGTAGGCCTGTGTTGTTGTAAACATCTCTCCTCATACTGCCTTTGCAGTATACTGAAGATTTTGGTATGTTGTATTTTCACTTTTATTTTTCTTGATATATTTTTCGATTTTTTTCTTTTATTTCTTCATTGACCCAACAGTTGTTCAGTAGCATGTTATTTAATCTCCACATATTTTTTATTTTTCCAGCTTTCTTCTTGTAGTTGATTTCTAGTTTCATACTGTTGTGGTTGGAAAAGATGCTTGCTACAATTTTAATCTCTTTAAATTTATTGAAACTTGTTTTATGTCCCAACATATGGTCTATCCTTGAGAATGTTCCATGTGCACTTGAGAAGAATGTATATTCTGTCGCTTTGAAGTGAAAAGTTCTGCAAATATCTGTTAAGTCCAACTGATCTAATGTGTCATTAAAGGCCAAAGTTTCCTTCTGGATTTTCTGTCTGGATGATCTATCCATTGGTGTAAGTGGCATATTAAATCTTGCTTCTGTTTCTGTGTCTCGTGAGGTCTATTAATAATTGTTTTATATATTTTGGTTCTCCTAAGTTGGGCGCATATATATTAATAAATGTTATGTGTTCTTGATGGATCGGCCCCTTTATCATTATAAAATGTTTGTCTTGGTCTCTTGTTACCTTTTTTGACTTAAAGTCTATTTTGTCTGATATAAGTATGGCTATCCCCTCTTTTCTCCGGATACCATTTGCTTGGAGTATCATCTTCCACTCCTTCACTTTGAGTCCATGTTTGTCTTTGTAGCTGAGATGGGTCTCCTGAAGGCAGTATATATTTAGGTCTTTCTAGCTATTCTGTTACTTTGGATTGCTCAATTCAGTTCATTTACATTTAGGGTAATTATTGATATATGAGGATTTACTGCAGCCATGTTATCTTTTTTTTTTTTTTCCCTGGTGTCTCTGGATTTTTATTGTCTTCTTTCCTTTGTATTTCTGTCTGTTATTTAATTTGTTAGTTTTCTATGGTTTCTTTTCTTTTCTTTTCTTTTTTTTTATGTTTTGTGTCTCAGCTCTGGATTATTGTTTTGTGGTTACCATAAAATTTATATAAAATGTCTCATACATAAAATAGTCCATTTTCTTCTGATAACATCTTATCTTCATTTACCTACACAAGTTCCCTCCTTTTCCTTCTCCCTTTTTATGTTTTTGTTGTCACAAATTATTCCTTTTTATTTATGTGTTCTTTACCAAACTGAAGTAGCTATAGTTATTTTCAATGCTTCCCCACCTTTAACCTTTATATTATGATTATTTACCATCCTATTCTGAAACAGAGTTGCAATTTTCTGCTTCTGTCTGTCACATTAATCAAAGTTTTGTATACTTTTTTTTTGTTTGTTTGTTTCAGGTAATACAAGTCTTTTGGTGGTAAATTTTCTCAGCTTATGTTTGTCTGAGAAAGCCTTTATTTCTCTCTCATATTTAAAAGACAACTTTCCTGGATGTATTATTCTTGGCCAGTGGTTTCTATTTTTCAATATTTTGAATACGTCTTTCCGCTCTTTCCTAGTCTGTAGAGTTTCTGCTGAGAAATCTGATGATAACTTGATGATGTCCTTTGTAGGTTGCTATCTTTTTTTTCCCCAGATGCCTTGAGAATTCTTTATCATTAACTTTTGACAGTTTTAATGTAATGTGTTTTAAAGAAGGTGATTTTGTGCTGAGATAATTAGGTGTTTTCTTAGCTTCTAGTACTTGAATGTCGTTTCTTCCCCAGCTTTGGGAAGTTCTCATCGGTTATTTCTTTGAGTACACTCTCTGTTTCTTTCTTCCTCTGTTCTCTCTCTGGGATACCCATTATTCTTCCAGCCCTTTCTAACGAAGTCTGACAATTCTCATAGACCTTTTTTCATTTTTAAAAACTCTTAGTTCTCTCTCTTCTTCCACCTGAATCATTTTTCAGTTTTTATCATTGAGCTCACTAATTCTCTCTTCTATATGGTCTGCTCTATTTCTAATGCTTTCTAGTAAATTCTTTATCCCATTTATTGATTTCTTTAGCTCCAGAATTTCTTTTTGATTATTTTTTATAGTTTCAATTTTTTTGGTAAAGTACTCCTTCTGTTCATTGATTTGATTCCTGAGTGCATTGAACTGCCTTTCTGAGTTTTCTTGTATTTCATGGAGTTTCTTCATCATCGCTATTTTGAATTCTCTATCATTTAGTGCCTCGTTCAGCACAGCCTGCTTGATACCTGAGTGGGAACAGTGGGAGATGCCAAAAAGAAAGAGAAAGACAAAGGTGGGATCAGGAAGACCACTATCCACTGATGATGGAGTAGTGGCACAGATTTATTTTTGCAAGCTGCTTTTATACAAGAGCATACAATTGCCAGCTAGGATAAGATCATCTTTGGCACAATCACCTAACCCACATTCTATTATGAACTTTGCCATTCTGTCTGTTCGTGGCATCGTTTCCCCAACAGTTTGTATCTCCCCAGACTTAAGAGGGTTCGTTGAGGTGAGGCAATCCTCGGCTGGCCTCACAGATTTCAAGGACCTTGTCAGCTTGCAATCCACTCTCCACAAATTAGATAACATATTTTCATGACTTTGAGTTTGGTTTCTGGAGAATTCTCATTTTTTTCTGTTTTACCGTGTTCCCTTGGTTGTTCATAGTTTTTGATGGGTTGTTCTGCCAGTACATTTGAAGTAGTGAACCTTTTTCTTATTTTAGGTACCATTTTGATTTTAACAACTTAGCAGGCTGACGATTAGAGGATTTTCTTTGATTTTCCAGTAGATATGCTATAGCACAAATTTTTGTTTTCACTTATCTGCAGTATTTGTACCTCCCAGGTCTGGTCACTGGTGTCGATGTCAATGGCAGAGCTCCGAGTGCCAGGGGTGGTTGGTACCCCTGCTGTGTCCAAGGCTCCTGGGTCTTGGGGCATCACTTCTGTGGTCAGGGAACCCTCTGTGCTGCGCTCTGGTTCCCAGGGGCTACTGGTGCTGCTAGAAGCCATAATTGCTTCTCTGCGCTGCTACCCAGGTCTGCTGCCATTATGGGAGGGGAATGGATTCTCTTGTGCAGATATAAAGAGTTTGCCTCACTCTGCCATGATGCTCTTATTTTAAATTATTATTTCTCATACCCACTGTACTGTTAAGTTCCATGAGGCACTTGTCTCACTCACCTCTTTATACCTATTTTCTAACTCAATGATTGACACATGTAGAGAAGCAATAAATAATGAGTAAATGAATGAATGGATATATGAATGAAAATTAAAATCATACCAGCTTATTGCTTTAACCATAGGAACTCATTTAAAGGTACCTTAATTCAAACCCCATAATATCTTGCCCGGACCATTGCAATAGCCTGCAAGCTGGTCTCCAGGCACTGGACAGTGTTTCAAGTTCTATACTACTGCTAGAATGAGTCTTTTCAGAAGAAAGGGGAGGAGGAAGAAAGGTGAACTTAATCATTTCATGCTTAAAAAGCACAACAATGTAAAAGACTTATAATTTACTATTTTATACAAGTGAAATGTTTTCTTTGTTTTTGTTTTTGTTTTTGTTTTTTATCATAAAGCCCAATGAAGAAAGAAACAAAAAACCTTAGCGAGAAATTTAAAGTCTTTCTCAGTATTGCCTCATCTGCTCTTTCTTATCTTCTCTCTCCGTGTCCTCTGAGCCCCGGCATCTGAGCCCTTTAATGATTTCAGTGCTCTGGTGCATTACTCTTCGTTCTTCCTGAAATGTGCTCCTTTTGCCTTGTTGGCAAAGGCTCCCTTTCCTGCGACTCCCAGGGTACATTGTATCACATCGTGGCATTTAACACCTTGTCCCGTATTACAGCAGTTCGTGCATATGCCTTCTCCACAGGCAGCTCGCGTTCTGAGTCTCTGTCGTCAGCACAGTGCCTGGCTCATGGAGGTGCTCTATAGGAGCTTGTTGAGTAAATAAATCACTCGGGCGAGGCAGAGAAATAAATAAATGATAGTGTTGAAGTGTATTTATTGCAAAATTGAGGAATAAATGAAGACCGCGGGAGCACGGAAGACCACCCGCTTGTCAACAGTCATTGCACGTGGACGGTTCAGAGGCTGGCATCCGCTCGCGGATCGGTTAAGGCTGCTCGTTGCATTATTTCACCGTCACTTTGGTCAGTTGGCTTTTGTGGAGCCCACTTTGACTTTACCGCTAGTAGATGAGTCAGACACAGCCGAGAGAAGGAAAAACCAAGAGACACTCGCTTTAAAAGTGTCTCTCCCTGACTTGCTCCAGAGTTTCTCTTTGCAGAAAATTTAACCTAATAGCTGTATCATCGGGGCGGGCCCGTTTTAGAGCTTTTATTTTTGTCGCGCTGCAATCTGCATGCCATTTTCTAGTCCACACTGTCTTTTATGGGTAAATATGTTTCCAGTTGAATTTCCTGGGACTGTGAGGCATTGTTTCTCTCAGCTGTTTCAGCTTTTAGAGCATACTGTTGGTTCCAGACACTCGGTCAGGTGTCTCCAGTGGAGAACGTCTCCATCTGTGATGTCCATCTTCCCTGGCGTCGTGCTGTACTGTCCCGCTTCCTCTCCCTACAGGGACTGTTTCCATGACCACGCTAACTGTGCTGGCCTATGAACGTTATATCCGTGTGGTCCAGGCCAGAGCGATCGATTTTTCCTGGGCCTGGAGGACCATTACCTACATCTGGCTATACTCGCTGGGCTGGTCAGGAGCGCCTCTCCTGGGCTGGAACAGGTACATCCTGGACGTGCACGGACTAGGCTGCGCTGTGGACTGGAAATCCAAGGACGCCAATGACTCCTCCTTTGTGCTCTTCCTATTTCTTGGCTGCCTGGTGGTGCCGGTGGTAGTCATAGCCCATTGCTATGGCCACATTCTGTATTCCGTTCAAATGGTGAGTTGGAAGACTACAAATGCTCCTCCCCCAGACTATTTCCATTTTGTGTCAAAAACAATCAAACTTCCTTCCTACATGATCGGTAGTTGCCCATAGCTGGAGCAGCTCTAGGAGACTTCCCATGTGACAGAAATTTTTGCTATTAGTGACTCTCTGAAAAGATGAATAAAGAATAACATTTATTCTCTGCACCACCATTTTCTAAACCAGGAGAAGGAAAGAAAGGGGTTCTGGAAAGAAAAAATCAGCAATGACAAAAAAAAAAAAATCCACATCCTCCAGCACTCTTAGAATTTAAGAACTCCAACAAAGGGAATTTCATCCCCCCCTATAATTTTATTAATTCAAAGGTCACATAAACTCATTAAGGAACAGTACAGGTATTTTGTCAGGAAATCACTTTGGAGTCATGAAGGACAAGAACTGACCACAAGCAGGCTTCCCGCTGGGTGACAGGAAGAAGGACATCTGAAGTAACGGCGTGAAGCCCGCTCCCTTTTCTGTGTCTCACGTCAGCCGCGTGTCTTTCTTACTCAGCGCTTCTTCCCACTCTGTTTTCTTTCATCAAAAGGCTCCTGTCTCTTGCTCATTGTGCCAAACTCTTCTAGCTTTCACTTTTATTTTTTAAATCAAACTTGGTCACATGAATCATTTTAAATCATGACCCACTGCCCTCAATTTTCATGTCCCAACTTTCTTCATACACTTTTGTAAAAAAAAATAAAAAAAATAAATCCTTGGATCAATGCAAATACCCGTTTTCTCCATGCCTGTAATCAAACCACAAAGAGGAACCAGAGAAAAACCACACCGATTCACAGTGTCCATACTCAGATTTCCTCTCAGCAGCATCTAGCGATCTTTGGATCATAAGATGGTCCACTCTTCCTATACAATTGCTACTATAAATTTTCAATTCTCATTTTAAACTCTTGCCCTACTACCCTCTTCCATTCTTATCAAACAATCATGCTTCTTATCTATTGGGCAAAATAAAGCTTTATCAGGAAATTCCTCAACTCCCCGCCTCCCTGTATACAAACCTCTTTGTTCACACTCACTCTTAGACTCCTCTCTTCAGGTACAGGTCAAAGGGAAAGGTGTTAGAGTCAAGCTAATCCTAGATTCTGTTTTTCCCTTGACTCCCTTCTCCACCCCAGGGACCTCTCCCAAGTAATAATTTTCTCTTTCGTTTATGTTTCTGTCTCTCCCTTACTACTGGCTCTTTTTAATACAAAAGCAAAATATACCCTCAACTCTCTCTAGTTACCACTTTATTTCTCTTGCCATCACTGCTAACTCAAAGAGCCATTGTTGGCTTTTGGATCTACGTCACTCAATAAGCATTCATTTGACCGATATTTACTAAGCATCTAAAGTGAACCAAGTACTTACTGTTATGGACTGAATGTTTGTGTCCCACCAAAATTCATATGTGGAAGCTTTAATCCCCCAATATGATGGTATAAGAGGTGGAGACTTTGGGAGTTAGGGTTATACGAGGTCATGAGAGTGAGGCTCTTATGCTGGGATCAGGGCCCAGGACTCTGTCTGTCTCGCTCAGTGAATGGTCACCATTCCTAGCTACCTAACCCAGAAATTAGGGAGTAATCTTTGCCTATTCTTCATTCTAACACCCAACCAACAATCAATTTTTACCTATTCGACCTCAGATATTTCCCCCATATGCCCTCCCCCCCCATCCCC